AGAAAGCGAGGCAGAGTTTTGGATAAAGTTAGCTCCTCCATTCGCTCCGATTCCCTTTGGAATTCGAATTCACAACCAGTTCGAGGTTTAAAATCACGACGGGTTTGGTGGCGGCCGGCTCCGTGCCGCTCGCTCCGTGCTCTAGCCTTATCTAAAACCCTGGTCTTCAGGAACTTGACGCTTTTATTCCCACCCCTATCTTCAGTTTTGCTGCAGCACAGACTGGGAAATCTCGTTGTGCTCTCTTGACTGTCTATGGTTTTGATATCTGACCTCGTCTCCCGAGCCTTCTAGTTTGTCGATTTTAGGGACGCTGGACCTTTGACCAACAGGACGCTCTCTGTCACGGGTTGGGGCCGGGGCAGTCGACCCTTTTGGGCGGAGGGGGTTCCCTCCATCCTCCCAAAGCTTTTTTCCTCCTCTAAAGCTGAGCGCAGAGTGGGGATTTTAATTAAAAAACCCCTCCTATTTCACCTCTTTCCGGCCTGGTTCGCTACTGCTTCATTCCTAAAGGATTGCAGGCCTCTCTCCCAGCGAGCTTCAGGCCACGTCTCCTCGCAGAGAAGAGACTCCTGGTCCATCCCTGTTAATTGAGGTCCATCCCCATTAATTAAACTCCCCGTTAATTGAGGTGCATCCCCGTTAGGTGAAGTCCATCCCCGTTAATTGAAGTCCCTGTTAATTGAAGTCCCCGTTAACTGAACTGCGTCCCCGTTAAGCGAAGTCCATCCCCATTAATTGAAGTCCCTGTTAACTGCAGTCCATCCCTGTTAATTGAAGTCCATCCCCGTTAATTGGACTCCCCGTTAACTGCACTCCAGCCCTATTAATTGAACTGCATCCCCGTTAAGTGAAGGCCAGCCCTATTAATTGAACTCCATCCCTATTAATTGCAATCCAGCCCCGTTATTTGAACTCCAGCCCCGTTAATTGCAGTCCAGCCCCGTTAATTCCAGTACAACCCCGTTAATTCCAGTGCAACCCCATTAATTGCAGTCCAAGCCCATTAATTGCAGTACAACCCCATTAACTGCACTCCAGTCCCGTTATTTGAACTCCACCTCCGTTAACTGAACTCCAGTCCCGTTAACTGAACTCCATCCCCCTTAATTGCGCTCCAGCCCCATTGATTTAACTCCAGCCCCATTGATTGAGCTCCATCCCTCCCCATCTCTGCAGTTTTAATTCCTATTAAGCCAGACCACACTGCAGACCCCCCCACCCCCACCCCCCAACTTCCAAGCGCAGGATTTTTTGGGAGCCTCAGCTGCCCCTTAGGAAGCTGCCTCGTCCCCTCTCCGCCTGACAGAAGCCCCTTGGTCAAACCGTGCCTTGTCTTCTTATTCCATCCACGACTAGAAACGCTATCAGTCACCGACTCCCCGGACGTTCTGGACAGGCAGAAATGCCTTGCTGCCTTGGCGTCACTGCGACACGCCAAGTGGTTCCAGGTTTGCATTTTGTTCTTATATTTGTCTTTAAGTAGAAAAAAAAAAAAAAAGAAAAAAAAATAGATATAAACTATTAAGGGGCTAACTGTGTTTTCTTTTCTATATATTTTTTTTATTTTTCAGTGTGTATTTTTTTTTTATGTTACTTAAAACGTTTCCGTGCTGAACTTAGCGGCTGTCGGCGGGGTGCAGCTGCTAAAGAAGCACTTGAGCCAATTAACCCTTGGCCAGGACCCTTTTATTAACGAGTAGATGGCAGAGCTGCTGCTTTGTGTTAAGAGTAATGCTGCCTTTCGCACACCACGGTTCTTAAGTCCTAAAAAAAACGCTGTAAAATTCTGTTTACCCTTGGCAAAGTAGCACCGCAAAACAAAAAAAAAACCAAACAACCACCAAGCCTAAAAGTGAATGTCTGCCAAGCAGCAGTTTGGGTTTGTTTTTCTTTTTTATTAAATGCTTCTCTGCTTCTGATTCTTCTCCTAGGCCAGGGCTAACGGGCTGAAGTCGTGCGTCATCGTGATACGAGTGCTGCGGGATCTCTGTACTCGGGTTCCAACGTGGGCACCGCTGCGAGGATGGGTAATTTGCCCCTTTTTTTTATTGCGTTATTTTTTGGGGGTTTGGTCCCACTTTTCTGAGCCAACGTTCGGCTCTCGCGGTCCACGCAATTTCAGAAGCGTGAGGTTTATATCCCATAAAACTTCTCCTCTTGAAGGACGCCTACGATGTGAATTATTTTCTCAGTTAACAGCCTCTACAGTGGAAATTCTTGACCTGTTGGCGAATTGGAAGCAGCTTCTTGGCCGTAACAGCGGCGCCTTCGCTCCTCTCACTCTCCCAAACTTCTCTTTCAGCCTCTGGAGCTGCTGTGTGAGAAATCCATCGGAACCGCCAACAGACCCATGGGCGCTGGCGAGGCCCTGAGGAGGGTCCTCGAATGCCTCGCCTCGGGAATCGTCATGCCAGGTTAGGTGCTTCTCTGCATTTCCATTTCAAAGCTGAGCCCGAGAGAGAGAGAGAGAGACACGCACGCGGTTGAAGCTTCCAGGCGCGATTTCCTTGCCGTAGAGTTTGCGAAATCCCTCGGCGTCCGTGCGGGCAGCTTAGGTTCGGAGCTCAGGAAGCCCCGGGTACCTCGCCGTTCCTTAGGGGCCCGCGTATTCAAAGCTACGGACCCATGGCCTTTAAAACCTCCCCTCCCCGGTGTAGAGAGAGGCACCAGTTTCTACGAGCGTTCAAATTTGGTTCCCTGAGTGGTCGTTACCGGCTTCCCTGCTAATTATCCGTGTTAAAAAAACGAGTCCAGACGAGTTTCAGAATGTTGGCCATTGGATGGATCATGTCAGTCCGCGTCCTTCGAGGGATGAGTGTTGATTGATGCCGAGGGAATTCTTAGTTTAGTCTCTTTAGCAAACACCAGGATAATTCTCTGCATATCTTCCTTGTTTCCTGCCTTCAGATGGTTCTGGTATTTATGATCCTTGTGAAAAAGAAGCCACTGATGCTATTGGGCATCTAGACAGACAACAAAGGGAAGATATCACACAGAGTGCTCAGGTATAGTTTTGACTACAGATGTTACGAAAACTTACTCAGCCCCACTGCCTCTGAACTTCCATCTTGGTTAACCGTAGCCTAGTCGCCTCACGGAGGTCGGTGTTAACTTCTTTAATCTCCAGTCGAGTAAAAGAAAAATCCAAATGGGTCCCACGCCGATAAGGACTTTGTAGCTTTGGCCAACCAGAAGCAAAGTATCAGGTCTTAAATAGCGACTTGCTACCGCCACCCGTCTTTTGGGTTGAACTTGGCAAACATAAATATACGGAGAGAGTCCTGTTTAAACCGCTGAGGATTCCTATGTAAACCGCTGAGGATTTCTGTGTAGGGGTGGGTAGAGTGGCCCTGGCTGAAACTGTGCAGGGAGCAGAGCGTGGCCTCCCCCGTTAACGCACCTTTCCTCTCTCCAGCACGCCCTGAGGCTCGCTGCCTTTGGCCAGCTTCACAAAGTCTTGGGGATGGACCCCCTGCCTTCCAAAATGCCCAAGAAACCAAAGAACGAAAACCCCGTTGACTACACTGGTAGGTGTTTTAGGGGGGGAATAAACCACCCCGCAAATCACATTGCAAAGCTTTTGCTGCTGGAAACTGGAATATTCAAGGGGTTTTCTTCTTGGTTGTGGTTGTTACAGTCCAGATTCCTCCCAGTACGACGTACGCCGTCACCCCGATGAAGCGTCCTATGGAGGAGGACGGCGAGGAGAAATCTCCCAGCAAAAAGAAAAAGAAGATTCAGAAAAAAGGTATTGAGTTAACGAGAGGTAGGTACAAAGGCTTCCCGAGAGCTGTTTTTAGGGGCTAGGGCATGGGGCAGGAGGACTTGGGGGAGAGGGTTTGGTCCTGGGTGATGCTGGAAATTGGGGTTACGGGGCATGCGGATGTAAGGAACAAAACCAGCTTTAATAATGCCAAGAGTTTTGCTTGGGAGGAAAATACCGACGAGAACTTGTCTGAAATCAGTGATGCATTTGAAAGAGAGGAAAAAAAAAAAACCATCCGCAAACTTCTGCTTTGTTTTCTTTCCAGAGGAAAAACTCGAACCTCCCCAGGCCATGAACGCGCTGATGAAGCTAAACCAGCTCAAACCTGGGCTCCAGTACAAACTGGTCTCTCAAACTGGGCCCGTTCACGCTCCCATCTTCACCATGTCGGTGGAAATCGATGGCAGCACCTTCGAGGCGTCGGGGCCTTCCAAAAAGACGGCCAAGTTGCACGTGGCCGTGAAGGTGAGAGCCAAAATTCGCGCCTCTCCCTCTCCAGAGGGATTTGGGGAGCACCTGGTGCTCAAATAGAATTAACAAGAGGATTTTTGAGCGGGTTTCTTGAGTATTTACCCCAAAATAGGCAGGGCTAAGTGCTGTTTTTGGTAATCACCCACTTTCTTTCCCCTAGGTGTTGCAAGATATGGGTTTACCAACAGGAGTAGAAGGCAAAGACTCCGGGAAAGGCGACGAATCGGCCGAGGAGACGGAGCAGAAACCGGTCGTGGTCGCTCCTCCTCCCGTCGTCGAAACCGTCTCAACGCCCACGGCCGCTTCCCCTCCCGCGGATCAGACCCCGGAGGTGAGCGCAGAGGGGCTGCCCCGATTATTTGGGATAACATTGGCCACCACTGCAATGGTTTTTTAGCCACAGGATGTGCCATGCAGCTCAGTTACTCTCCATTTAAGAGCTGAAAACGTCCATCAAGCTTACTCCAAACTTATTTTTAAGGTATTTAGGGCTTTTCGTGGAGTTTCATCCCTGCTTTTTCCGCTTGCAGAACGTGAAACAGCAGGGACCAATTCTGACGAAGCACGGCAAGAACCCGGTGATGGAGCTGAACGAGAAAAGGCGCGGGCTGAAATACGAACTGATTTCGGAAACGGGCGGCAGCCACGACAAGCGCTTTGTCATGGAGGTGAGGTGGCTTCTGGTCCCCGCGTCTGTCACCTTAAAAATGAGTAAAAATCCTAAAATTGCAGAGCAATTTGGGTCAAAAAGGACATTTTCAGTGGCTCACGTTGCTCAAAGCCCCATCCGACCTTGACCCCTTCCAACTTCTCCAAATTACCTGAAATTTTATATAAAAATTACTCATTTTCTCGAGCTGTCCCTGCTCTTTCCACTGACACGCGATGATTTGATCCCCTTCAAAGGTGGAGGTGGACGGGCAGAAATTCCAAGGAGCCGGTTCAAATAAAAAGGTGGCCAAAGCCTACGCCGCCCTGGCCGCGCTGGAGAAGTTGTTCCCCGACGCTCCCGTTGCCATCGAGCAAAACAAGAAGAAAAGACCCCCCGTGCCGGCGAGGGGAGGCCCCAAATTTGCAGTAAAGGTAAGTAAATCCCCAATTCTGCCACTCTGGGGTGTAATTGGTGGTTCTGTAGCGTTGTTGTGGTTGTAAATGTGTTTTTGGGAAGGGGAATAAGTGAAGGCGTAGAGAAACACCGGGATTTGCTAACAGGGGTTGGACTTGGAAGCAGAAACGCTGACAAATTTTGCAAAAACACAACCAGGTTTTGCAGAAACGCCTTCAGATTTTCAGGAATACCACCCCATTTTTCAGAAACCCCCTCAAGTTTTCAGAAACCCCCTCAAGTTTTCAGAAACCCCCTCAAGTTTTCAGAAACCCCCTCAAGTTTTCAGAAACCCCCTCAAGTTTTCAGAAACCCCCTCAAGTTTTCAGAAACCCCCTCAAGTTTTCAGAAACCCCCTTGGAAACAATGTCGAGTTTTGGAGAAATACCCCCACATTTGTAGAAATGCCATCGAGTTTTGCAGAAACACCGTTACATTTTTCAGAAATACCCTTGAATTGTGCAGAAACACCATTACATTTTTAGACATACCATCGAGTTCTGCAGAAACACCATCAAATTTTGTAGAAATACCGTCCCATTTTGCAGAAACACCAAGTTCGACAGAAATACCTTTACATTTTCAGACACACCATCGAGTTTTGCAGAAACACCGTTACATTTTTCAGAAATACCCTTGAATTGTGCAGAAACACCATTACATTTTTAGACATACCATCGAGTTCTGCAGAAACACCATCAAATTTTGTAGAAATACCGTCCCATTTTGCAGAAACACCAAGTTCGACAGAAATACCTTTACATTTTCAGACACACCATCGAGTTTTGCAGAAACACCGTTACATTTTTCAGAAATACCCTTGAATTGTGCAGAAACACCATTACATTTTTAGACATACCATCGAGTTCTGCAGAAACACCATCAAATTTTGTAGAAATACCGTCCCATTTTGCAGAAACACCAAGTTCGACAGAAATACCTTTACATTTTCAGACACACCATCGAGTTTTGCAGAAACACCGTTACATTTTTCAGAAATACCCTTGAATTGTGCAGAAACACCATTACATTTTTAGACATACCATCGAGTTCTGCAGAAACACCATCAAATTTTGTAGAAATACCGTCCCATTTTGCAGAAACACCAAGTTCGACAGAAATACCTTTACATTTTCAGACACACCATCGAGTTTTGCAGAAACACTGTCCAGTTTTGCAGAAATACCATCAGATTTTCAGAAATACCACCCCATTTTCCAGAAACACCGTTCCATTTTCAGAAACACCCTCGAATTTTGCAGAAACACCCTCGAATTTTCAGAAACACCGTTCCATTTTCAGAAACACCGTCAAGTTTTGCAAAAATGCTATCAAATTTTGGAGGTATACCCCCACGTTTTCGGAAACAATGTCAAGTTTTGGGGAAATAGCCCCACATTTGGAGAAATATCATCGAGTTTTGCAGAAACACCGTTACATTTTCAGAGATAACCATCGAGTTTTGCAAAAATACCCTTAACTTTTGCAGAAACACTGTCCAGTTTTGCAGAAATACCATGGAATTTTCAGAAATACCCTCAAATTGTGCAGAAACACCGTTACATTTTTAGACACACCATCGAGTTTTGCAGGAACACCATCAGATTTTGTAGAAATACCATTACATTTTCAGAAACACCTTCAGATTTTCAGAAACACCATCCCATTTTGCAGAAACACCAAGTTCGACAGAAATACCTTTACATTTTCAGACACACCATCGAGTTTTGCAGAAACACTGCCCAGTTTTGCAGAAATACCATCAGATTTTCAGAAATACCACCCCATTTTCCAGAAACACCGTTCCATTTTCAGAAACACCCTCGAATTTTGCAGAAACACCCTCGAATTTTCAGAAACACCGTTCCGTTTTCAGAAACACCGTCAAGTTTTGCAAAAATGCTATCAAATTTTGGAGGTATACCCCCACGTTTTCGGAAACAATGTCAAGTTTTGGGGAAATAGCCCCACATTTGGAGAAATATCATCGAGTTTTGCAGAAACACCGTTACATTTTCAGAGATAACCATCGAGTTTTGCAAAAAAATGCCATAGTTTTGCAAAAATACCCTTAAGTTTTGCAGAAACACCATTACATTTTCAGAAATGCCATAGTTTTGCAAAAATACCCTTAAGTTTTGCAGAAACACCATTACATTTTCAGAAACACCATCCCATTTTGCAGAAACACCAAGTTCGACAGAAATACCTTTACATTTTCAGACACACCATCGAGTTTTGCAGGAACACCATCAAATTTTGTAGAAATACCATTACATTTTCAGAAACACCTTCAGATTTTCAGAAACACCATCCCATTTTGCAGAAACACCAAGTTCGACAGAAATACCTTTACATTTTCAGACACACCATCGAGTTTTGCAGAAACACTGTCCAGTTTTGCTGAAATACCATCAAATTTTCAGAAATACCACCCCATTTTTCAGAAACACCGTTACATTTTCAGAAACACCCTTGAATTTTGCAGAAACACCCTTGAATTTTCAGAAATACTATGAAGTTTTGCAACAA